CTAAAGCTCCTGGTAATTTTGAATCACTTACAGCCATGTGGGAGTTTCCAGAAATTAGGGTACCCTATTTTGGGGTCCTTATAGTAAGGGTCCTACTATTTAGGGTGCTATATTAGGGTCCCCTATTTTCGGAAACCCCCATGTCAGTGTCATGGGTTGTGGTGTTGTGGTGTGTTTGGCTCTGAACTGTACGGAATGGTGCCGGCCTGTGCTCCCTGAGATCAGCACCGGCAGAACGGGGAAGCCCCGAATCTCGGGCCAAGGGCGAACCATCTCCTTGATCGTCCGCAGCAGGGCCTTCCTGCCGATGCCTAAGACTGTCCAGCGGTCTGCATGTGAAGGAGTTTCCGGAAACGGGGTACCCCCAATGCAGCTTGAGATGTGGGGCCGTTTGCATCAGGTAGGGCCCCCTAATTCTCGGAAAGTGTTGCAGCAAAGGTTCTTGAACTTCAGCGCTAGAATCAGAAACCTGCTTGCAGGAACACTCTCTGTCTGTTCTTTGAGGTGCTGCAGGTCGGTGGAAGCCTCTGGTCTACAACCAGGACGGAAGGCCAAAGCCCGCTTCCATTTATGGGAGTTTCCGAAAATAGGGGACCCTAATATAGTACCCTAAATAGTAGGACCCTTATTGTAAGTACCCCCAAAATAAGGTACCCCTATTTTCGGAAACTCCCATTTCTCTTGCGCTAGGGAAACCTGAGCCCAGCAACCCAATCTCCATCCGATAGCAGGTGTCTGGCTGTGGGCAGGAGGGGCAGACAAAGACGAGAGGCCTGATTGCGCATAGGAAGTAGCAGGTAGCAATTATATACCATGATTGACATGAGCCGAGTTTAGAAATTTGAGGTGACTACTTGTCAGGGGCCCTTTGAAATGAGGATCCTTATTGTGCAGGTCTGTTTTGAAGTTTCATTTTGTTCTGCAGCTCTCACATGCTTGCCGCGAGGGTTCGCTAATCTTGGACCACGAGGGCCCAACCGGCTTCCGCAAACCCCACAGCCCTGCATCTGCGACCCTCTTTGGCCAAGTACCCCTGTCATTTTTGAGGAGCCCTGTTATCCTCCTCCTGGACTGCGAGGCATTCTCGGTTGAGCCGGATTCTTGTAGGAATGGGCATTCAGATGCCCTGAGCACGGGGAAATTGGTAAGCATAGGCTCGGTCAGAGGTGCCCTAAGGTTCCGGGTATGGCTGCCTTTTGGCGACAGGCTGAATCTAACCCGTTCTGCAACTTCAACAAAGGTGCTGGGTTCGGGGGCCCTTACGAAGCAGATACAGCAGGACTCAGTAGGTTTTCGAGTTTGAGGTATGAAGAGCTTTGGGAGGCGTCCCATGTAACAATGACAGTACTTATCAGTATATAACAGGCATGAAGCCTGATGAGCGCATTCTTCTACCGCCACTTCTACCGAAAGCCCACAAAAAACGGCCCAGCCCAAGGCTCCAATTTCAAAAGCATTCCCCCATCTTGGTTCCCGAGGAAGGTTCTGTCATGTTTTTGGGTTGACCATCTTCACATGGGGTGTGTTGTTACTGCTCGGTACTTCCCCAGAACCATTCATTGAACTACTCAGAAGGACTACAAAACGGGACCATGACTTAGGAAAGCCCCCTAAGATGCTTACCATGAATAGTAACCTGTTAAGAATGTGGCCTGTCAGGGCTTTGGTGGAACGGGAGCTTCTGTTTCCGACAACAGCTGCCGCACTCCTGGCCGACATGATGTCCAGGTTTAGGGTGATAAGGGCTGTAGCACGTAGGGGCTTCGGGTTTAGAGTCTAGTTGTGGTGTTTCAGCCTCTCTGTGCAAGAGCCCATGGTCTGGCCCCTGACAGAACCGCACCCGGCGGAACAGAATCAGCTCTCTCCATCCAAGATCCAGCCTTTTGAAGGTTCCCAACCGCCCGAAGCCCCGAAGCCACCAAAACACCCAGCCGTCAACTCCCAGCCCTGAAGCCTACTACCCTAAGGGTCCAAGTACCTACATAATAATCACATACTCTCCCAAATAGTAGCCTACATCAGTACTATCCGAAACCTAAGTACCCGATTATCGGGTCCTTTGGACCCTAAACCCTTAACCCCTAAACCCTAAACCCTAAACCCCTAAACCCTAAACCCCTAAACCCCTAAACCCTAAACGCTATAAACCCTAAACCCCTAAACCCTAAACCCTATAAACCCTAAACCCTGAACCCTAACGCTTTAAATCTCACTGAATCTTCCAGGTCACGGTGCCTCCCGTGACATGCAGCTCTTGGCGCTGTGCTGGTTGCCGCGCGCCTGCACGAGCGAACCGTAGCGCCGTAATAGGGGCCTAAGTAATTACCAAAATACTATGTTTTTTCTTTTTGGGAGGGTCCTTCTTATTATTAGTGTTACTTAATTATATGTTTATTGTTCTTATTACTCTCGTCATTATATATAGTACAATATACCCCAAAGTCTTGTTTTAATACTTATGGCTTGACTTGGCCCTTCGGAGTGCTCCCAGCCTATTGAAGTCGCTAGTTTTGTCAGGGTGCCTCTGCAAAAAATCCGTACGAAAGGGTTAAGGGTTTCAGGGTTTAGGGTTTCTAGGCCTTATAAAGCTACTATGCGCAGAGGCTCTTCAAACCCTAAGCCCTAAACCTTAGAGTTGGAAGTGAAAATGTAGTTGCATTTGGTGTGCCTGTGCCTTGTACCTCCAAGCATCCACCAGGAAGCTCTGCCATTGACACTCCTGGAATCAAGTTTAGTAAACAACAATACCTATAGTCTCCATTGTAGTTCCTTTTTTAGGTTAAACCAATTTTACATTAGGATCCTATAAGGGCACCCCCAAAAGGAACTACAATAGAGACTATAGGTAATGATGGTAATAACGATAGTAATGACACTTTGATAGTAGTAATAACTCTGATGGCAGTAATAATAGTACTGCCAGCAGTAATGCGCATGAGCCAGAAAGTCAGCTATGTAGCAGTAAGCACATCACCAACAACCAACATTTTCCATTCAAGTAGAACAGAAGTTGAGAACGGCCTTTACTGTTGTTTTACTACGACCAGTAACAGCCTGTGACAACTTTGAGGCTGTGTGTGTGTGCGTGTTTGGGGTCGCTTGAACACGAGCAGTAAGTATCAGAAGGTGCCGAGGAGTTTGGACGTGGTCTTGCAACAGACTTCAAGTGAATGAACATTTGGGTCGGAAACATGAGAGATGCACCCGGCGTTCCAGGCTGTCGTCTGCAATCGCGCGGGACCCAGCTCCACCTCTGGGAATGGTGCGTCATTGCCATGTTTTCTGCCAAGCTGGTGGAATTTCTCTGCGCTTGGACTGACTCCATGCACTTGTGGAAATCGTGAAATCTGCATGCAGAAAGAACGCTTGCAATCGACTGAGCGCCGGGACGTCACGTCCGAGCATGTCTCAGGTCATGAACACCACTGGCACCTTGGACGAGGCAGTCGGGGAATCTCCGAGAGACTGACACCCAAGCAGCTCCTTCATATCTTCCGCAGCACTCGCAGAATTCGGAGAGGTCTGCCAGCATGCAGGCTGTCGTTTCTCAAGGCTGCCCCACAAGTTTGACTGGTCTGCGGTGTTTGCTCTCAGCTGTCGTGGCGACAGCTCCGCTTAAGCCTTTAATGATAACTTTAATGGGCTCCTGATGCTTCCCTAACCCTCCAGGTACCTACAAGATAGGGCCTTGCGGGCTCTAGTACCCTATATAGTAGGTACCTGGAGGGTTAGGGTGTGCCTTTTCAAGGTCCAGGGTCAAAGACCTCGAACAGAGGTTCCGGGATTTGGGCAGTGTGCTTGGCCAGGCTTCTTGTTTCTGGACAAATGGGGGTTTCCTACAATAAGGGGTACCTACCTTATTTAGGGGTCCTTATAATAAGGATCCTACTATTTGGGGTACTATATTAGGGTCCCCTATTTTCGGAAACCCCCAAATCTTCAGAGTGCAACGTCCAAAATCCTCCAAACATCCAGCCGAATCCTTCCAGCAGGTTGGACTATTAGCCTGGCTGCCAAGTAGGACTCCAGAAGTCCAGCTTTACATGTCACGCCAGCCTCGCAAACCCCAAGACCTACACCTCGAACCTTAGACCCGAAACCATCAGACCCACAATACCAGGTGCCTACTGGCCTACTATACCTACTATATGGGGTACTAGAGCCCCTAAGGCCCTNNAGTAGGTACCTGGGGGTTTAGGGATACCCGAGCCCGGAAGGCGACCTTCGACCAGCTGAAGTCAGCCAGCCACTTCAGCGACATCGTCGAGGAGAGGGGGACTGAGGCCCCATTAAAACTGTTTGGGAATGGGGCTTGTGCAATTCAGGGGGGGGGG